GTTGACAAAGGGATAGGGCAAAGAGAATGTTTATCATGTCAGTGGGTATCGTTACTTGTTAGTAGATGGTAACAGAGACATATCTGGGGCTTCACCCCCAAAAAAGGTTACAACATTATCAAAAGTAAAACATTGTTGTTGTGTTATACGGTTACCACATTTTTTTTGCCTTAACGTGGCCAAGAAAAAGAATTGTGATCGTTTCATTGATATAAGTTTTTTCAAACTAAATGTGTTGGCATTTGATGTATCTTATAATTTGGTGATAATCGACTTCAAATTAACTTTTAATAATATGTGTGCAATATTGTAGATAGGGGATTAGTTACGAGTTGAGAGATGATCGTCTTGATTTATTAGAAGTCAGTGTTGCACCTTGTCAATCATGTAACTTAGTTGGCTATTTTGCTTCGTACAGACTTTAGGGTTTTAGGAGACTCTAGATAGAATTGAATTGAATTTCATTGTTGTCCTTCTGAAAAGATTGAAATGCCCTAAGTTCAAGTAACCGAGTACCAAGCATAATTTTACGCTTCTTTTTCAGTTATTTCTTAGTGATTGAACTTAAGGTTGGATTTGATTATCATTTTGACAGTAGACAACCTTTACAGATTTATTTATTGCCCAGGAATAAAGCTTGTCTTTGTCAATCAAATTTCAGCTCTGCCAAGAAACATAAATTGTTATTGATGATGCTTTGTGATGTTACCTAGAAACTTGAAGTCGTCCTCCCTCATGTCTTGTTACAATCTGCTGATTCATCAAGATAAACATCAAAGCCTTCACTTGCGTTATAATGCATGAATCTTTACTTGCCTTAAATAGGCTTAGAGAAAAAGTAGATGCTGAAAAGAGTTTAGCAAAATGGGATAATCCAGGTCGTAAAAAGGATTTGAAAGTGTGCATTATAGCGAAAAATAATGCATGGGTCATAGCCCGAATTACTGGAGGGAAGGAGCTTTATATGGTTCTAGAGAAAGCTAATGAAACTCTCCTCTATGCATCGGAAACCGTTGAAAAATTCAGTAACAGGTGAGGGGTTTTAGCTCTGATTCTGCAATTGTTTTCCTACAAGAGTGTTGTCATCACATACTATCCATTGCTCTTAATGCTTACATATTCCTCATGCCTTAACTTTCTTCACGCATACGACAACCCGAAAATATTTTTAAGCTTCTAGTTATTTACGAGAATTATGCAGTTGTCTTTAATACTAATTTATCAAGTAATGTGATGCTATATTACTTGAGCTTGGCAGTAAGTGTCAGATATGGACATATGCCTGACTCGAGTACTTTTAATTCTTAAAGTTTTCTTTCAAACACGTAGTTGAAGAAAAACATAATTGGAGCAACATAGATCCTTTAGTTTGAAACACATTTCTTCTTGAACATCGAATTTGGCAAAAGTGCCCGGATAATGTTTTTTGCTCAGCAAAAACCAGAAACTTTATTACTCTTAGCACAAGCAATCTCATCCTCAACTAAGAGCCTCATTAAAACCCCCCTAATCATATATGGGGGAAAAGAGTGCTCCATAGTTAAGGGATATTACAACCGACCTGCAGAAAACATGAACAAACAAGGACCTAAATTACAACTCCTACTAAACAATCAAGCATAAACCAAACCAGTCCACAACACAAACAATAAAGTTCAACCAGCTAATTTACCAAGTAGCTTTAAACATAACATTTCTTCTCAATCCAACTTTGGCAAGTTGATCAGCCATGTTGTTTATTAACCTCGGCGTGTACTCAAACTTAACATCTTTAATCTTTAATACCATCGCATCAATTTCTTCAAAGGTTGCTCCCCACCTCCAAGGACGACCGGAGCAAGAATGTATCCAATTTAATACTACAAAAGAATCGGATTCAATAATCAAATTAACCTTCCTCAACCACTTAGATCCACAAAATAATTCTAATGCAAATTTTACTGCAACCAGCTCAGCAAAATCAGCATTAACCAGTGAAACAGGCCCGAAAAACATAGCCACCACATGTCTCTCAGAATTCCGTAACACTCCACTGCACCCCGCTGCCTCTTTGTTAGCCGATCCATCCACATTAAACTTCATAATCCCCAATCCTGGAGGCTGCCAAATCAAATTCTGCCTTCTCAGTTCTTCACATGTATCCACACTAGACCCCGGACACACCCACCAACGTTTCTCATCCATATCATTAAACTCCTTGAGTGCCTTACACCAAACCAAAGCACGCATTTTGACTATACATACAACATCTTTAAGTTTTTCTTTTTTCTCCCTGAAAACGAAATCGTTTCTGACCAGCCAAATGCTCCACAAAGCTGCCGCAAAGCTAACTTGCCATGCTAAAATTCTTGGCACAGACCAACGAACCTGGAACCCAAATTCAAATAGCTCACCTATAGTTGACGCGCTACTCCCTCCTATTTGCCACCACCTGCAAAAAGACATCCAGAAAAATTCCATATATATGCAAGAAACAAACAAATGATCCGAATCTTCTTCAGCATCGCCACACCAAGGACATAAGCATTGATTCTCATTTAGCTTAATTCCTCTGCCTATGAGAAACGCTTTTTTTGGTACTCTATTTTGTATTAGCATCCATAAGAAGCATTTCACCTTCAGGGGAACCTTGAGGCTCCATATTTTATCATATTTAGGCTGGTCTACTTCAATGATATTATTATTCCTAAGCAACAAATCAGTCAATTTTTTGACCGAGAACTTCCCATCCTTCTCGTGAATCCAAATAATACGATCAGCTACGCCCGATTTGATTTGAGCTTCACCTACTTCTCTTTTAATTACATTGAGTATGCTTCTTTCTCTATCCAAGAGTTGTCTATCAAATAGAACTGAAGAATCTCGCCACTCACTTTCCTTTAACACCTCTGAAATTGTCCTAAATTTTATTGAAACTAACCTGTAAATTCGAGGGAACCTATTCATAAATGATTTCTCCCCCCAACCACACATCCTCCCAAAACCACTCTGTCTTCCCGTCACCCACTTGCCATCTAAAGGAATCAACACTCATCCATTTAGAAATTTCTTCACTCTTAAGATTGTTAATGATCCCCCTCCATGTAATGGAAGCTTCCTTGATTTTATGCCCGGATAATGTGGATGAGAAAGTTTATTTCCAAAACTAATGTACTCAGCTGATTAATTCCCCATCTAAGGTGTTTTTTACAGTGCAATGCCAAAGACCCTAGGATATCTCGGAGTCTTCAGGAAAAAATAAAGGACATTGGATTTCTTGGCGTCTTCAGGTATGTTTGACATATTATTTTTAATATGTTATTTTTAATAATACTTACAGATTATAGATTGAAAGAAAATTTCGTTCAAAATTTTATCTATTATTCTTTCGACAAGTTGATGTTATAAAAAAATCTTCTCGAATTTCTTACTCACTTTTTTTACCAGCAACAACATATTAAAAATAATATTTTAAATACCATTACGAAATATACATATTTTATTCGAATACGAATATAATTTTATTCGAACAAACTTACAGGTTATAGATTGGAACAAAATTTCCTTCAAAATTTTCTCTACTATTCTTTTCAAATGATTGCTCTTTCAATTCTTCTCCAGATTTTGTCTCTTCTCTCATTTCCTCACCACTACTTTACTCCTCAATTCTCAACCAAAACACCTTATTTTTATAACATACAGGATATTTATTATAATTTTTCGTTCAACCACCAACCATCAACCAACCCGATTATTAATGAATAATTAATATTTGCATTAATACTTATCTGTTTCCCAGTCTGAGACAACCTACCACCTACACTGAAGACGCCAAGCAATCCTGGGTATTTCTGTATGTCAAACATACCTGAAGATGCCAAGCAATCCAATGTCCATTTTTTCCTGAAGACACCGAGATATCCTGGGGTCTTTGACATTGCATTGTAGAAAACACCCTAGATGATGAATTAATCAACTGAGTGCATTAGTTTGAGAAAAAAACTTTCCCATCCACATTATCTGGACACTTTTGCCCATCGAATTTCTGGTATGGTATTCATGGGAAATCCAAATTTATAATAATGTTTTTGCAATTCTATGGATGTCCGCTTTGGAGCTTTGGGAATCGTTTTTTGCTGTCTTGGGTTCGCTATTGCGATCAGTGTTCGCGTTGATGTTGTCGAGGAAGCCTTTTCGGTTGGATTGGTTGTTATCTTTTAGATTGTTGCAGTCGGTGAATCTTATTTTTTAGTCGGTATTGCTTTTTGTTATTGAGTTACTTCCAATTAGGTGTTGGTGATCTTTGTATGTAGTTTTCGTTTTTGGGTTGTGTTTGTAGTGTTCTCTTATGTAGCACTCTTTTCCTCCAATTAGATTAGGGAGGTTTTTAATGAGGCTAATAAGTTGTTCCTCTTATCTAGATTTTAATAAATCTTATTTCTTATAAAAAAATAATGTTTTTGCAAATTTACAGATATTGCAGCAGATCATTTTCTTTGGACTAGTTAAAAAATTTCAATGGAATTCATATCATATTAATATAACATCAATGAAGTATTTATGTGCCGGATAAACGATTCGTTCACTATCCTGGACAACCCTAGCAGATGTTACAAGGTTCCTCTCTGTTTCAGTACTGATTTTTGTGTGACATAAAATGCAAAAATAAAACCTATCTTCTGGGAGTTGTATGCAAAAACGCAAATTGTGAGTTAATGCATGTAACCTTGTTGATTTATTTGTTTTGTTTCAGTACCTTGATTTGTGTTCTTCAGACATCGGTTATTTTTTTAGTCAGTAACAGACACGAAACGAGCATGGAGCTGGTTAATCTAGGTAAAGGTAAGAGTATGTTCTAGTAGTAGTAGTAGTAGTTTCGGGATATATGTAGAAGATTTATAATAATACTAGTATTTTAGAAAATTCTAATGTAATACATATACTTTGTCAAAATATTCAATATGATAATTGGATTATCATTTTGTATATTATAACACTTAGATTAATATCATTAGTAAGTGGCATATATAAAATACTTTTTTATGTTTTATTATGTACCTAAATTAACATTTTTAGTATTTGTCAAATCAATCGACAGAAATTATAAATATTGTAATAATATATTAAAAAATATAGTTCAAGTATCATATTATATTTTTTATCAAAACATATGTATACAAGGATAATACGAAAGAATGATAGAGTCTATTGATCATTGAAAACTTTAAATTATCATATAATTTAAATATAATAATTTAAATATTTTTTAGTATTTTTTTATAAATGATAAAATTTTATATTTATGAAATTGTATACTCTTTTAAATTTTAATATAAATTTTAAAAAATTACACTTCTAACATAAAATTTTTCATCTTTCCTTAAATGTATTGAATTAAATATTGTCAAAGCATACACATGACATTAATTTTTTCAAAGTACATTTGTTATATTAGATATTTTAAAAATAAGGATAAAATACAAAAATCATTACTAAACTTTTTTCTCATTCTTATTTTGATCACTCAAGTTCAAAAGTTTTTAATTTAATAATTAAACTTTATATATTGAACTTTTTAATCATTCTTCCGTTAATTTAGTAACGGTGTGATGACATGACATTTTAAGTTCAATTTTTTTTCACTTTGGTTTTTCAACTTTCATTTTTTTCTTTCTTTCTTTAATTTATTGAGAATGATTGCTTGAACTGTGGGCTAGCTATTGGATTCGTTCTTCTCTACCTACCTATTGTCTTCTTTATCTCTATCTTGTCAAAGCTTACAAGATTTTCCTCATCCGTTATATTGCATCTCTACGAGATAGAGGTAACATAATCCCCAAAGAAGGATCCCAACCAAAGAAGAAAACTAATACAAAATTTTTGAGAACTTAGAAAAAAAATAAAAAGGAGTGGAATAAGGCTCAAGTTATAGTGGGAAGTCATCCCAAGAGACAGTATCAAATTACGGTTGCAGAATTCATCGCGGATGCGATTGTGGTGTCGCGATTGCGGATACTATAGACTTACGTAACGCATTGTGGCTATCGCGGGCATGATTTCTTCTTCTTCTTCAAAAATCACAATACTTCTAAAATATTATATTTATACATTTTACAACTGTCTTTTAATATTCAAATATTAATATACTATTTTAATATATTTTTTAAAATTAAAAATTTAATTTCATAGATAAAAAATTTATTAAAAACAAATATAAACCATATAACTATTATGCTGGATAATGGATAATAACAATTATAATGTTAATGAATAACATATAAATAACCTCACTAAAAACATATCAAAGTTCTCATATTTTAACATAAAAAAGTTAATTTTACATAACTTAGAAAACAAAAAAATACATAAATACAAATATAAAAATACACCACAAAATTAATATGTGACAAATTTAAAGCAGTTTCATCTTTATCAACGTCTTGGTTTTGATTCATTCCTATTCCATGTAAAAAAATCACATTATGATGATATGCAATTGGTAGGAAACATGTTGTATCATAAATAATGACAAAAAAATTCATAACTTGAATTTTGTTAAGGTAAGGTGGATAATATGCATTTGGTAGATTATAATGAGAACCCTGATATAATTAACTAATTTCATTATCAATTGTAGCTGAACTATATGATGATGAACTTGCAAATGAATCATAAAAGTGTTATCTCATCCTCATATGAGTTTTATCATCCTCATCTTTTTTGTGTAGTGCATTTGTTCTATACAAACATGTATTATCAACATAAAGATATCTGAACGTACCTTGATCTTCATGAAAAATATTAGAATAAATGTGTCAATATTTTGGTTTATACGTACCTTCATTATCACCATCATGATCATCATCACCACCACCACCGACATCATCATCACCACTTGACGTCAATAGTTAAACATTTTCTTCATTAGATGGTGCAGTTGAATTGTATTCATATCTTCATCTTGAGTTTCTTCATTAGTTTTATTAAGTAACTCCTCGTGCAACCATGAGAAATTTGTTCACTATCAAGCGTAGAATCCTCTCTTTCTTTAATCCATGCATTAAGTAGACTATCTTCTTCAAAAATATTTTTGATATTGATTATATTAAAACTCATTTTTAACTTTTGTGCACTTTTTCTTTGTATGTGTCTCTGTAACCCCCACAGACAGATAAGGGTAACCAGATCCGATCCGGGGTGTCACAATTGGGCCACCGGAGCGACCCACTGTAAAAATAGCGGAAAATTTAAAACTTTTTAAATTACATGTAAACTAATAAAATCAGTTGTTACTATTTAAAAATAAAACAGATTTCCAGACTCGTATATAAATCAAAATACAATTACATGCCCCCTAATCACATGTACCATTCTCTGAAAACAACGCCGGAATAATTCCTTTACTGATGTCGATAACTGCACTGGTACAATTCTTTTAACCTGAAAAGGTGAGTAATAGAGTGAGCTTCGAAAAGCTCAATAATACAGAACTACTAGATGATGCTGAAGAACGTGCAGATACAGATAAACATACATATCCTTATTATTTCCGAACATTTATAGATTTTTATGCTGAGCAGAGATCCTACTGATATTTCAGATGGTAACAGACAATGAGCTTTCAGTTCAAACAAATATTTTGGATGACTGAGTTCAGGAGATCATAATAGGTTATCTAGTGTGTTCCCAAAAACCATATAACTTTTCAGATCTTTTTAAAACATATATATATACCCCCATCCCAACACATCATAATGTGTAGGTTCCCCAGAACCATACACCCAACCCAACACATCATATAAGGCCCTGAGCACAAAGCCGAGGAACCTGCGAAACTTCTTCCTTCAACAATACCCCCCAATTAAAACATTTTCCGTCCGTAAACGGATATATCAAAAATCAAAACATAAATCAGGTCAAGTATCATATCAGAAATCAGGTCAAGTAACAGATCAGAATCCAAGTCAAGTATCAGATCAGAATCCATGTCAGATATCAGATCAGAATCTATGTCAAGTATCATATCAGAATTCAAATCGAAAATCAGATAAAATATTCATGTGAGTAGGGAACACACAAGAGTTTATGGACATTATTTAGAGGGACTAGATAATCTTATAAGGCAGAGAAACACGGATCTTCAGCTTACCGATAGAATGTCGGTATTTAGGATCACTATAGGAATATTTCAATAACTATCGGAATCATCAGTTATTCAGAATGTGAATTATCTGGATCATATCTTATTCGGACAGTTTTCAGAAGTTGTACGTAATCAGAAGGGTATTCAGGATCTTTTACATCCATATCAATTGAGTGGATAATCGAACAACTTAACAACGAAGATTCAGAACCTTAACAATCTATGTTGATTGATTGCATTATCGAACAACTCTTAGATGAATAGTTCCCAGAACTAATACTTATCGACTGGTCATTTCGTGTCCTTCTAGGGTATTTACACTTTAATACCAAAAATTCTTATCCATAGATCATCTTCGGAATCATCACTGAATAGATCTTCCAATGTCTTTATTTCATTTTTACGCTTCCACTATATCATGAAATACTGACGTGTTTGATTTGTAATTCATGATCCAGAAGAACAGTACATCGTGTATGTTCATTAACGTTTCCAGACTCATCCAAATCACTTATTAAAATCTTAGTCATTGAGGTTACTTATTTCACTTAGTAGTCAAATCCATTCCAATTACTTCAGAGTTTTCCAGATTAATTTAGACGTCTCTAAATTTCGGATACATATTGTACTTCTGTTCAGTTCAGTCTTTGTGGTTGATTTGTCGAACAAATATCCAATTCTTAGTGCTTAACGCGATCTAGAGTTGAGCTGAGCTGAATACTTCCAAAATTATCATCGAGCCAAACTTAAGAAGACAAACACGCATTCAAGTAATATTTATGCCGTTCAGGTACTGACATAGCTTTAGGGTTGATCTACTCACTTAAGTTTTGTTCCATAACTTTTAAAGGTAGTCCAACACCTATGCTTATTTGGATTCCTTAATTAATCCAAGACATTTACTTAATATAGGCCATAAGGGTATTTTGGTAATTTTGGTGTTCAGTTTTATTCCATTTATTTCAAACCTCGAGGATATCCAATCATTCTTGAGCTTGGTGGTATTCTTGGTCATTGTACAGATTCAGTGTACTTTAATCATTTCCTTCCGTCTGATCTTACTATGAAATTCAATCTTATAATTTATTTCAGTCCTTTCGAACAATTTTGACAACATAACAACCTCAACAAATTGTTCTTCAGGTATTTACTCATAACTCGGATATTTCCGGGTCAAGTGCATTCTCAGATTTTACAAACGGAATATCAGGAATTTTCCTGCACTAAGTCAGGATCTTAACAATTAAATCCGTACTTAATTGAGTTAAGTACGAATCCCCTAAGTATTTTCTCATTCAGAGTCAACTCAGACTATTCTACCTCTTAAGGGCATTTTCGTAATTTCTTAACCAGATAATTTTAATATTAGCTCTTAACGAAAATAATATAATTTAGAGATCCTATGATTAATTGCTTTCTTGAATACTCTCTGATCTTGAAACAGTTCTCTTAACAAACTTCTAGTATCCTTCACAAACTCTTATAGGATTAAAATCGGTTATCCATAATTTCCAAATAAAACTAACATTCCTTATACACATCAATATTTTTATCAGATCAATATGTCTGTAAAATCCTCTTATCTAACTTCCATATTCAAATCTTGTCTTTTTATAACATAAGGGTATTTTTGTAATTTTACCATACCGGTGTATTTTTATAATTTCTCATCCAAGTACCTTTAACATTTAACCTTTGATGAAATAAATTATAAGTTGCAGATACAGGGCTGATTTCTTTATCACTAATCACAACCTTGTAATTTAATCTAACAATTCATCAATTCTTTATATTAGTCATTCGATCCGTAATTAGTTACAGAATTTATATCACATCATATCGAGTGTATAAATTATTCAACTCCACCAAAGTGACCAACATTATCTTGT